CAGACCGGAGATCAGTACAGTTCTTCAGTAACCAGGTATTGGAAGCGAGTTGGGAAAGGCGAGGCTGGTGATCATCCAACCAAGGGGTTGGAGCGGCACGCTTGGAACCAGGAGGAGCGACCAGGAGGCACGACGTCACAGTTGGCGCCGTAACCAAGGGATTCGACCCTGGGCCAGGTGTGTAACCGTCACACCTCACTAGGTTGGCTGGTGATGCGAGGAGCCCTCTGGGTCTGCAAAAAACTTTCTTCAGCGTGCTTGAATTCTACCAACTGCTTACGTTGCGGTGAGTCGGTAGAGACTCTGGGGCACACCTTTTTCCATTGCAAGGTCGTATTTTACTTCTCCCCAACTAATCTTCTTTTTTAGCGTTCAGTTTGAGCGACCATGTGTGGATAAAGGCCCCATACAACCGGTGTACACCAAGTTTCGGAACGGGAGAAATTACTGGAATTGTTAGTTCGTAATCAGTCTTGGTGGACGGAATGCTACACCACGTCAGGGACCTCCATCCTTCCCTGAACTCACGATCTCAACAGGCAGTGAGAATATGTCTGAAAGTGAAGAGGAAATCCTCGTAAGCGTAGACGGGCCAGATGATCCCACGGAAGAATCCCATGAGGACGAGGTGGAGGAACACGAAACAGTACCCACGTCCTTCGGAGAATCACTCGTTGGAAGAAACCAAGTTGTTCTGAGATCAGGGGGAGTCTGGCGGACGCGTATCGTTACAGATGCAAAAGAGACACCGAGTTACATGCGGACATGTTTGTTGACACCAGTTAGTTACATTTGGGTTTCTCTTTTAGCAACAGAACAGCTTGTTCTAACCAGATACAAGCCTCTCTGCAACTTGCCCAGATCCGAGTCTATCAGCAGAAATTCAGTATCTTACAAAGATTTTCCCTTGGCGCATTTTGGTTTTTGCGGCAGTGTGCCTTACTCGTCGTTATTAATTTTATTTAATTTCTTTCTCCATTCTATGCCTATAACCAATATTATTTACACTCATATGTTGTTTCAACTGTTCCATTCCATGGTCTTCTTCAGGTGTGAGGCATACAGAGACTTTTTTCGACCCTCTTTTTCATAAACTTGAAGAAAACTGCCAAAATGGAATATTTGAAACATTATGTAAATAACATTGATAAGAGAGTCGATTGTTCAAAAAGAAATTACGGTATGATAACTCTGTGTTGGAATGTGTCACGAAAAAATAAATGATTTCGTCTCTTTCTCTCCTGCTGTCGTAGCGATGGACACAGTCTACACTTCTGAGACTGAAAAAAACTGCCCTCCTTCTCATTCCAGCCCTTTACATAGAGCTTGGTAACTCACCTATGCAAAACACCAACAAGCCAGCTACCAATCACAGTTCCCGCGCCTGCCCACCTCCACTCACTTTGGGGGTGTCAAGACCGCCCAACTCATTACACGTCCCCCTGATCTTAAGGTCACAAAGCTTCTCAGTTCAAGAGATGGTTGCGTCTGTCTGGTGACTGCGTCCGCATATATACAACTTACACGTTTGACATATTGGGATAACCACACATGAGCGAACTCGTTTGCTCCGAGGTGGTAGATTTCCAGATTCATCCCGTGTCTCGCTGTCATGATCGCACACCGTGCAACTCGGGGCAGGCCTCTTCTGCCGGGCACTCCTTCTGAGCGGGATGACAGGGTCCTCATCCTCGGAAGAACTCTCATCCGTTGAGCTACCATCCGCCTCTGGACAGCTGGCCACGTTGACGTCCGTAGGTAGAGTACTGATGTTTGAGGTAGAACTCAGTAGATCCGACTTTAAATACACCACTTGCGCACCATCTTCAGAGTCACTTTCATCATCTGATGACGGTTTTAACCCTACAACTGGCCGCAAGTCTTTAGCATGACGAGGCACGCTATAAACCCGCACTGACTGCGGGCTGATAATCTCGGTAATATTCCCCATTCTAAGCTTGTCTGTACACTTGCTGTGTGGGGTCTTAACCCACACTACGTCACCAATTCTGTATTTAGCTTGCGCGTCGCTCGGAGACATTGCAATGTCAACGCCTCGCACCTCTGCACTACTGTCATAACATCCGTCTTTTTGACTGCCGGGTCGACCATCTTCGAGAAGTAGAGCGTCCGTTTAATCTTTGATAATTTCAATCAGCGTGGTGAGCCGCCTTCGTATCAACATCTCGTTCGATGCCTTGGTGGTCAGTCGCGCTCTTCCGCTAAGTGCATCTGATATCCAACGCTGAGTGCATGCTGAGTCCGTGACGATGTGTAGCACTGTTGCTTGCCATTGGAGCGCCAGGTTAACCCCCTTCAGAGTGGCATCTAGTTCAGCCAGGTTTATGTGTCATGCATCATTTTCAGGTCGTAACAAGCAGGCGTCTTCTATGATGGACCCGTTATCCTCAAGGGCGACACCCATGGACAACGAGCTGGCATCCACCCAAACGATGAGCTCGTTCCCCTTAACGCACCAGTCACCTCGCACGGGATCGTCTTGCATCACTCTCTCCATAGCTTCAGTTATCATGCATCTTAGGGTAACGTCGGGCACCTCATCATCCCATCCTGACGAAACAGAAGTTACGCGGCGCTTTATGGCTGCTGCCGCCATTCTGAGCCAACCGCATACGGGAAAATGGCCTACCAGTTTCCCACACATGGAGAAGGTACTCCGACGAGTGATCACTGGCGGGACTTCCGGGAGGTCACTACCTCGCCTCCAGCGAAGTTTATCTCCATCACTACTGACGTGTAGTCCAAGTACATTTGCTCCATCCTGTAGCGGCTCTGGGGCCTTGCACACCAAGCCAAAGCACTCCAGATGTTCTTTAACCCTTGTTGAAGAGGTCACGTTTTCATTGACGTAAACATCGTCAATGTAGGATGACGTTGCCTTCGAATTTCCTCATCCTGCGACATGACCAAATTCATAATCGCTGACTTGATTTTTGGAGCTACATTAAAACCAAATCCCAATCGAGTGAGGCAATATCTCCTTTTACCATGACAGTCTGAAAGGGCCAGAGTGATCGGTGGACTCGGACTTAGAGGTAGGCCCTTCTTAAATCGAGGGTGGCCACATTGCTCCCTTGCTGCCGCCATTCCCGCAATTTCTGGGCACAAACGTACGCGTTGGCCGTATATACATCTACAAAGATATTCAATTCCCTGTAGTCCATGACCGGTCTCACTTTCTTATTCTCTTGCACTATTGCCATCAACGGAATCAGTCCTCAAAGGCGGCCCTAATTCTTCCTCGGGCTACAGCGCAAATGACCGTTTGCTATCAAAGCTGCAATTCATTTTCGTATTCGCTCCTGATATTCTCTGGAACCGGGTACTCGGCTATTTTATTTTTCAGTGGCGTGGGCGTTCGTCCACCCGCCCACTTCCACGTTGCGGTCGATACGCGTCTGCGCTGGTCGAAAGTTGCACTGAAGTCAGGTTCGTTAATCCTCAAGGCAGCACAGATGGGCGGATCAGAAAACTCGACTTCGCCCGCCTCTGTGATGCGTACGCCGCCCAGCTCCTGAATAATGTCCATCCCAAGGAGCAGATCAAAACCTAATAACGCGCTGTCCAAGACCAACACGCTGATTGTACCGGGGTTACCGTTGTTGATAGTGAGTTTGATGTTTCCAACTCCCCGACTTCTGAGAGCTTTTCCATCAGCCGTTAGTACGTCCATCTTTTGTCTGCTCCACTGTCGACAAATCGAACCGTTCGTGAGTGACCGAGAGCAGCCCCAATCTACTAAAGCGGTACGCGTTATTCCATTGATGCGCACCTTAATCACAGGGAGCGCCTCTTTCATGCTCGGTGTGGAGAAGAGACCGGCTGACGTCGCATCCCCCATTCTATTTCCCGGACACTTGGAGGCAATGTGACCTACTTTATGACATTGGAAACATTGTAGATCGAAACGTGCCTTTCGTGCCGACCCGCTGTGAATTCCTTTTCGTTGATAGCGGCAGTCTTTGGCAAAATGATTCGGCCCAGAGCACCGATAGCAGGTGACATCGCCATGGCGACGGATGGCTGGGGTCGGATCCTCTTTGACTTCAATTGGCTGAACAACTGCGGCCACTGGTTCATCAAGCCTCTTTTTCGTTGATCATGACAGCACGGGCTCTGGTCAACAATTGATTGAGCGTCATGTCTTCCATTCTGGATGATGCACGGAGTATCTGGGTAACATGACTAGGCAATCCAGACACGAAGGCACAGGTCATTCAATCTTCAGGAAGCGGTGCGATCGGTACGGCGAGCTTCTTTAATTCCGCCAAATATACGTCTACTGTCTCGCATAATTCGCAGACCAGTTCCACCTTTTCGATCCATTCAACCACAGACTGTCCACTCGTATCACCACTGAATTCGGAGATCAGTTTTATGTCGAACGGTCTTTCCGCCATCTTGCTAGAGATATGCTCCAAGAAAATGTGTTATTTAATTAATTTTTATAAAATGTAATAATGGCAAGTTTAAAAAAAAAAAATCATTACAAATATTACTGATATTAAATATTGGTCTGATTTTGTCCACGACATTAAACATATTTAGGTAATAAGTTTAATGAGAGAATTCCAAATGTTTATATGCTGCATGGCTTTTACATTTAATTAGGGAGATGAAGAGAAGTAAAACTGAAATTTAGGTTTGTTTTTTACAGCATATCAAGTTTACTTTTAGGCAATTTCTTATTTTGATTCTGCAACATGAAGCATATTTTTATCAACAAAACAAGAATAAAAATCTATGTCAAATAAAAACAAGTTTATTATCCATAATAATAGTGAAGTGATTTATTTCATGAAAAAATAATATGCACAGAAATACATATCATTTTATACTTAAAATAAAAAAATGCTTACAATTCTCAATAATGAAGAATTTACTTTTATGATATAATTATTAAATTATTTTATTGGCCACAAAATATACAAATCAATGCAAAACTGAGAAGTTGATCATCTCTTCTATTCAGGCAAACTTTACTGAAGTAGGCATTGGTCTGGAAAACAAGGAAAAAAGTTAGATTTCTTAAGAAACAGAAAATATCAAAGAAGGGTATAATGAAATCATGGGTATAATAATATTGTGCAGTTATCACTTCAGACACTGTGTGAATCTTTAAAAAAAATTCAGTACAAATTTCACAGTGCTTCAATATGAAAGATAATATTTTTATATAAATGATGCAAAGCAAAAAAGGTATATATTTTGGCAAAATATTGAACATAACAAAGTGATTTAGAAGTCCCAGCATCTAAAGTGTATATGAATTAAATGTGAACTTGATTACTGGGAACCATTAACTAATTTATATCTTTTTTTATATTGAAATACAACACTAATAAGTATTTTTAGGTGCAATGATATATATATATAATTGTACATTGAGTGCTGTGTTAATCAATCAGCACCTGAAGATTGTGTTGTACATGAGACACAGAGTTGTGCTACCGGTGATATATATATATATATATATACCCAGGTAAAATGAGAACAAATCGAGTATAATTCCACTGTACATAACATTTAATTTAAAAGAGGGCTCAATACAGAGTAGAACTAAATATTGTTTATTTCAGGATATTAAAACAAAAACATGTTAAAAAAAAACAATTATGTTTTGACACTACAGATGTGTCTTCTCAGGCGATATTAAACTACTGATGAGTGAACAATTAATTTAATTTCAAAAGCAGAATACTTCCTCATTTTTTTAGAAAAAAAAACAGGATAAAATAGACTTGTGGGCTTTACCATGATGAACCAATTGAATGTAATCTACATTAAATTCAAACTCACTGAAAAAAAATTTTTCATATAGGTACTGACATGAAGTTTTCTGCATATAAATCCTAGACAGTTTCCTCATGGGCAGACACAATGCTAGCCAGTTATATGCTCATTCAGTTACTTACATAAAATTTTGTAGTTAATATATAAAAGGCTCCTTTAAGAAACTGTTAGATAACCATTTGAAAAATAAGATCAACAATACAAAACTACTTCAGCAAATTAATATGCAGCCATTAAATAAAGAGCATCCATTTAAGATGTTAATAATAGCAACTAATCAATATAAGATAATAATACTAACACCTGTACATCCATATAAGAGGTTAATATTTCTAACTAAACATCAATATAAATCAAAATGAATCTTACAAATAGAATAGTAAGCCATATAAGGTGCACCACAGTTCATTTTCTGATTATTACTATAAGAAAAACTATTATCAAATTCAAATTTTAAACATATTGTAAGGCAAAAGGTAGACTATACCAACAATATATATAAATATATATATATATATATATTACAAGTAGGTTTTGCCTGCTCATTATCGCTTCACAAAGTAAGATATATTCACTACTTGAAATCTTTGAAACAAAAATTTTAAATGAACATTTCATTCATAAATTGGCTTGTTATAGTTAAGGAAAGTTTTACAAATAGATGCTATCTTGTTGAAGGCTAAGTAAAATGCAAATTTCAAACACTTTTCTGTACTATATAAGACAATATTCCTAAACAGAACTATTTTTGATATGAAAATTAAAACAATCCTCAAATAAAAGAACAGTAATAGTGAATTAATGAAATAAACTTTTTTTAAATCAATATGCAAATTAGTTAAACCTGAAGAGTGATATTGCCTAGAAGTAATATATAATACAGCTACTGAGCTTTTAGCAAATGGTATTAACTCCTTCCCCCCACTTGGATGAGATGTGACACAGCTCTTCCATGTAACATGTTTATTTATCATTTCTCAGTTACATCTCTGTCTCCAAGGATCTCTACAACCGACCATCATGGATAAGTTCTGTCTGGAATATTCTTTGGAAAACATTCCATACCCATCTCTATACTTGTTCAACCTATGCCTCAGGGTAAAAATCATCGACTTTATGAAGAGACTATGATGGAAAGTGTTTTTCTACCTTAACCCCTCTGAGAAACCAAACCAAAAATACAAAACTTTCAATCTAAAGAACCAACAAACTCCATCTTCCTGTAAACTCCTGGATCCTTTTGAAAGAGACATATTTGACATAGTTAAAAAATGAAATTCAACAAGCAGTCCAGTAAATTCCCAAAAAAATAATATAAAGGACATAAAGACTATTAGAAACTCCAAAGACATTTGCACAAGAGATAAAAACATCTATAAATGTAACCTGTCACACTACCAAAAAATCCTTACATATAAAATAACAAATACACACAAACTAGATAGGTATAACAGTAGTATATTCGAGATCAATACAGATACTACCAAGATATCCAATAAATTAAATATCATAGATAGAGAGGGAAAGATCTAGAGATGCTTACATTTTCTTTAAGGACCATGAACCCAACTTTGCTAGTAGTACACAGTCAGACTAATAAACCCAACTAAAATGGTACAGGGTCTAATCTCAAAAAATATAATTAAAAAAATAACTGATAAACTACTAATTGCAACCTGTGATAATCTTTGGAAAGATTTGTCTGACAATATCATATGATACGCCAATATGAATAATAAGGATAGAGCAACATTTATTAAGTTTGATATAATAGATTTCTATTCCTCTAATTCCACGGATCTCCTAGTTAATAGTATTAACTTTACAAAGAATTATATGGAGATAATGGATAATGAAACTAATGTCATCTTAAAAGCTAGAAAATCACTGCTAAAACTTAATAATCATAAAATCATTTAATCTTAGAATCATAGAACAAGAACTAGTGGGACTATATATAGAGATGATGGACTCATCTTTATCTCCACTAATAATGGTCGGCTAACAGCAAAGTTACAAAAGAAAATCATTAGGGCCTTTACATTACTAGGGTTTAAGATTGAAATTTCTTCTAACTTTAAAATATTTGATGATAAAAACCTTAATGATAAAACCTATCATCCTCATCTTTGTTGCCATATTTATCACAACATTTTAGCCGTTGTACACTCGGGCCTTCTTCAAGTGGTTGGAATGTTGAACTAAACCATTTATTTCACTCGCTGGGGTAGACTGTTCTAGTTCCACATGCCTTATCTAATGGATGTTAGTTATCAGTTATCTCCTGTTAATTCCCCTCTTCAAGTTCTCCACCGTCTTAACCATAATTTCAACTAAAGTCTTCAGCAAGGTGGTTCTATCCTTTGCCAGGAGTGGTGTAGTTGAGGTAAATTTTGGACAGCATATATATATATATATATATATATATATATATATACATACATATATATATATATATAAATATACACACACATTCTATGCATATATATACAAATACACGTACATATATATATATATATATTTATAAAAAAATTATAACATAAGTATGTTATAAAATCACTATTTTATAACATACTTATATTATAATTTTTATAAATAATAATTATATTTGCTCTACTTTGTATTGAGCACTCTTTTAAGAATAGTAATTGTTAATATTGAATTCATTCCATATATACCAATTATATATATATATATATATATAAAGAAAATATGTTGTAGTGGTTCCAACGAGAGAAAAGTATGTATATTAAAAGAAGAGGGGTGCAATCAAACGTTTTTTGGTTGTAATGTGGATTTATTGAGAAAAAATATCATACTTTGTTTTACATAATTTCATAACGTGTTTCTGGTCTGGTCTTTAACCGTCTTCAGGTGAAAGTGGAGATTTTTATATATTATATAAAATAATTAATTTTTCTTCATGTTCAATGTGGAATATTCTCGATATGAGACATTCTGTTTATACATGTTGGCAATCCGAATTTTCTTTCTAGAATTGTCAATGAAGAGTTCTGGTGTGAAAGGGTCATAAAACAATTAAGGTTTGTCCAGCAGTAGTTATCAGCATTTAATCTTTTAATGTTTTAGTGACCTCTATGTGCTCTTGGATCTGTTTCTATTTTGGCGTGTTCCTGTCAGCATGCGTGTATATATGCAAATATTTCCTAAGGAGAATTGCAAAGGGGTACTTAAACACACATACACACACACACACACACTATCCCACCACAAGTAGTCAGTACACACACACATATACACACATTTCCCAAGCTACATGGAACCAAGTACACACACACACACACACACACATACAACACACACACACACACACACACACACAACTTTAAGTTGTCAACATCCGCATATACATACATAAATGTATGTATGTGTACATACACATATATATATCTCTCTCGTCTCCCCAGTATATGAGTGTGCGTCCATGTATGTGAGCTGATCATTGTATTTGGTCACCTACAGTGCATGTTTTTTTTTTTTTTTTTTTGGGGGGGTTACGATCTATTCAGTTCGGGTTTGAATTTGTCTATAAAGTTTTTTTCCTGTATTTGTAGATACAGTAATTGTCTGTTTGATATATCGGCATGATATTAAACACACCCTGGTTACATTTGAAAATGTGTTGTGATACAAAAGTTTTCTGTTGTCTGTCAATTTTATATTGCTTTTGTGTAGGGAGACCCTGTTGTTCAGTTGTTGGCTGATGCCTATATATGACTTCTTACATTTTGTGCATTTAAGTGCATAAACTACATTTTGGAGTTGCAGTTTAAGTTTTTTGTTTATTGTGAATGTTTTTTTGGGTTTTCAAAAAGTGTAGGAGTTTCCTTCTATAATGATGTCACAAACTCCACATCTTTTTTGTTGCATTTTTGAGACTCCTGTATTTTGTGTTGACTAAATTTAGATGAGGTTAATATGTGTTTTAGGTTTCTAGATTGGCGTTTGCTCTTAATTATTTTTGGTTGTTTTTAGTATATTATTCAGTTGTATTCTTTCTAAGGAAATCTAGATTTTTGTGATTTCTGGGAATATTTCTGGGTTGTTTTTGTTGAAAAGCATAGAGACATATGCTTCAAAGTTTGTTCAACGTTACGTTTCTTTTTATTTGGCTAAGTTGGTCTAGGGAATTTCTTCGCGAGTTCAAATACCTTTGTTTATTATGTTGTGGGGTCGCCTCGTTTC